ATCGGGCAGCTCGCTCTCGTGGCTGTGGGGCATCGGGCAGCTCGCTCACGTGGCTGTGGGGCATCCGTGCCTGTGGGGCATCCGTGCCTGTGTCTGGAACGCTGTAATAACGATGTAACCCTCAGGGTGACATGAGGGCCAGACGAGGACACGGGCAGGATCAGAGCACACCAGGTCCCCACGAACGGGGCTCAGAGGCCCCTTTATAGGCTACAACTTGCTACTTTTTAATAAAGACTTTACTTATTTGACAGAGAGACACAGCAAGAGAGGGAACACGAGCAGGGGGAGTGGGAGAGGGAGAAGCAGGCTCCCCGCGGAGCAGGGAGCCCGATGCGGGGCTCGATCCCAGGACCCTGGGATCACGACCTGAGCCGAAGGCAGACGTTTAATGACTGAGCCACCCAGGCGCCCCAACAATTTGCTATTTATTGAAAAAAGATCCAGCTGTTTGACAACTACATTTAAATAAAATTTCAACTTAGAGTTTTAGTGACTTGGAAAAAAATCTGCCTGCTGAGTTCCTGGAGATTCAGAGTCAGGGGTGGTCTTCACCAGCGTCCCCTCAAGGCTGGTGGGCCAGAGGGTGCTGAGGGCACAGTGGTCCCCCCGCCCACGGCCGGAGGCGGGGGGCACGTGTCTGCTTGGAAACAAGGCCCCAAATATCCCCGTCCTCCCACATTTCACATTGGGGCAGATTCTGTTCCATTTCTGTCAAGAGGGCTTAATCTAATCTCAAGAGAGCTGGTCCCGGTCGTCTGGAGACTGCGGACACGCCGTGGACTCTGCCCTCACCAAAGAGATGAGTGCAGGACACGGGGGCCCGAGCACACGTGCCCGGCCACAGACACCGTGGAGGGAGCAAGGACCAGCTGCGGGGAGCCCAAACACGCAGGGCTCTGCTCTGGGAGACACGCACGCCCGCACGGTCTTAGGGCCAGCAGGCAGGTGGGCATCCCTGCTTCAGTTATAGCCTGAGAACACGAGAAACTGGAAATACTCGGATGTCACGGTTGTGTAGACTCAGAGAGGCGCCCCACCACTCAACGCGCCACGACGCTATCTTATCTGTGTGCTCCAGCCCTCGCCCGGGTTATTTTGGAACGGCTGCGGCGCGGCCAGCATTCCTGCCGGATGAGCACAGAGCTAAGCTGAGCGAGCCCATGGCGCGGGCCCGACGCTGGACCTCATTGCCTCAGCGTTGCCCCGGACGTTCACTTTGCAGCTGCTCACCGATAGCACGCACAGGCTGGTAGCCTGAACCTTATGGGAAAGCCACGCTTGCACACCTGCTGCTTGTCTGTAAGTCGTGTAAACATGCGGTCCTGCCATCCACCTGCTCCCTCCCCGCCCCCGGCCCCCCAAATTCACCGCATCTCCCCATCTCCCCAGGATGTGCTCTGTTTAAGCAGATATCTGAATCCTATTTTGGGAGATGGCGTTTTGACTCAAATTCATTGGGATTTGGAAGTAATCCCCAAACAATATTATCTTAATGGGGCCAAATTTCAAATGGGCTTATTATATTCTATTCTTTTGAGAAAAATATCAGAGGGCTTACTATCTGCCGTGAAAGGTTGAACCCTCTCCCCAAACAGCCCCAAAGTGAGAGATTCAAGTGGTTTCACTCTGGAGACACGTTTACAGACACGAACCAAGAGTCACGATTTCGGAGGCTGACGGCAGACAGGCAGTGACAGGACCTGTAGGGGCCGCGCGAAGGGGCGCTGGTGTGTGGGGGGCCGGCGGGGGTGGGGGCGGCTCACCTGTGGTCAGGGCCCCGGCCGTCGTCAGGTGCATGATGGTGTTGTCGCTCACAGGCCACGTCTCTGGGGAGAGGAGCAGGTGGTCCAGGCCCCCGCTTGTCTGCGGCCCCTCCCGGACCTTCCTGCCTGAGGCACTGCTGTCCTTGTGGGCGTTTCTGTGCCCGAGTGCGTCCCCCACGGCCCCCAGCAGCATGGCAGCCTTGAACTTCTCCATGGGGAGGCTGTTCACTGGCCCTTGGCTTCGTGGCAGTGGCCTTCAGTGCGTCCCACCGACCTCTGCTGTGCTCATAGTGCCGCTCTCAGGAGCTCCCTGAACGGCCGGCACGCCTACCTCCGCGGGCCGGCGGCACCAATGAGAACCTCCCTGGCCCCCTCTGCTCCCGCGCCTGCCGAGGAGCCACGTGGACGGCGTCCCTCCCTTCCGCGTCAGCACAGGCACCAGCTCGGAGCCGAGGAGCCGGGGGCTTAGTCAGCGTCCCCAACAGCTGCGGCCGCTTCCCGAAGAGCCACGACCTCTAAGCGCTGAGCCCTTGCCAGTGTTCTGAAGACGCGCACATTCCTGAAGCTTCAGGGTGGAGTCCGTCCAACCGGCCGCCCCGCTCCCAGGCACCTGCTCCTGTACCCTCTGCCCTGACAGGTTGGTCTTCTCTCGCATTTCAAGTAAATGGAATCGTAGACTCTGTGGCCTTTGTGCCCGACATCTCTCACTCAGCAGAACGTTGAGTTTCATTCATTCCATGCACGGTTTTACTTTTTGGAAAATCTTTTTGATTACACACAGTTTGGCAGAAAACCTAGGAAATGCGTGGGGCCAAGGAGAGGAGCGGCTCTAGGGCCCATGCGGTGCGGGGCTTGCTCCCCGTCCACGCAGCAGGAGGTGGGCTTTCCTGGGACCGGGCTCCAGACCGCAGCCTGCACGCAGACATCCCCAGATCTGCGCAGAGGAAGAGGCCAGGGTGCAGATGAGCAAACCAGGCTCTGGGGTGGAAGTGGGGAGTTAGGAAGCAGTGTCCCCGCCTGCCGTGGGCCCACGGGACCTGGCCACTCATCAGACCAGAAGTGGGACCCATCACACCTGGATCTGAGAATCATGTCTAATAAGAATAGCATTTCTTTCACTAATAACCGGATACTTGAGCACAGGGAGTGTTCAATCAGCACTTGTTACAAGGAGGCTCTGGAATAGTCTTCCAGCCAGCAGGGTCCTGTGGGGCGAGGCCTGTGTGCTCCCCATCCAGCGGGACAAGACAGGCCCTCCACTCAGACCACCACCCGGTGCGGGTGGAAGAGCGTCGTTTGAACAGCTACGTGGATGAAGAGGTGGTCTGTGGCTCATTTCTTCTGCTGGCTCTGAGGCTGTGGAAACCTTTCGTGAAGTGGCCAGGAGCAGCTCCATGCTGTCCGGGCAGCATGGGCACCCCCCACCTGGTGGGGGATCATTCATGGAGCCCCACTGTGCGCCTGGAGCCCCACTGTGCACCTGGAGTCTGAGGGCCAGAGTGCGGCACTCAGACATGCACACGCCCCCAGCATGGGAAGACGGGGTCCCATCTCTTCCGGAAATTCCTGGCAGGCGCTCCGTGTCTTTACTAAGCCCTATTATATCTGGGTGGTTTGTGTGTTCTCAACAGATTTATAGTTTGCATTCCAGTGTGTTCTGGTATGTGATGCCCATCAGCTAAAGGAAAGCCTCTAATTTTCACATGGAAACAACCACATTTAGTGGGCACACTCTGGTGATGGGAAGGAGAGCACCCGGCCAGGCTGTCCGTCTAAGCGGGGGTGCAGGCCGCACACGGGGGGTGTCCCCAGAGGGGCTGTGGTCCTGTGGGTCCCATGGCACCCAGCACCTGGGCAGCCGAGAACAGAACTGGAAGGACACCACCACCAGACCAGAGAAAATAATTTATTTTAATGTTTCCAAAGCTCTTGGCACTCTCATAGCATGCATGCCTTAAATATATAGAATAGAAGAAAAAGAAACCTACAGTTTTTTGAAGAGCCTTTGTCCAACCACTAAGGTTCTGTTATCTATTGATAAACAGCTGCATAGAGTCTCCCCTGCCGTAACTCTGAATCTTAAGAATGAACAGGTGCTACAGACCTCCAGGATTTGTGGGAGATTACCCAAGCTCCACAGCCTTGTCTGAGCAGAACACTTCCATGGCAGGAAGCCACGAAGCCTCGAAGGATGCATTAAAATTGTAGAGGCTTTTATTCTACAAAATAAGTGCTCTCTTAGAACCCCAGGCTCGCAGGTGGAGACAGCCTTGTTTGTCCCTTTGCTGCCATGGATGCACAGGCCTGGGAGAGCGGGCTGGGGCCGCCCCAGCCCCGACGGTGGTGTCCCGGCCTCAGGCCCCTTTCCTGCCCTCCACGGCCTGCTGTCCCTTTGAAAGACTCCTTTCCAAAAGCATACATAGTTCACACACAGCAAGTAGGGAAAAACCCCCATTGGGCACGGGGCTTCCAGAAACTCAGAACCATGTTTGTGAAAGTCAACTCAAGCACACATTTCAGGCACACTGTCCATGTACAGAAAATCCAAAGTGAGCTTCCTCTCTCCCGTGAAGGGACCCCAACTCATCTGTCTCGTACACAGGGTTGCGGGCCGGCAGCAGAAACACTTGTGACATGAAGATCTTTTCACGCATGAGGTAGGGTCCACACAGTGATTTTTAGAACACGCAGCTTTTTCCAAACGGAAAGCAGGTGGCATCACGGGCCTCCCATGCTCGGAGGGCAGGTTCTGGGCCTCGCTGGACGGTCTTCTCTGGCCAGCAAACACTGGAAGACTCAGACAGCAACATGACGAGCATGGGCTTCAGGTGGAAATGAGGTGGAGGTTTCCCCGTGGGTGTTGTGGGCAACAAGACGTGTGCAACCACACACACAGCCAGAGGGCGGGCGACGGGCCTCTCAGACGCTGGAAGGAACCAACTCACATGACTTTTAAATCTGGACTCCTTTGCTTGTAAAAGAAATACTTTTCATGGAAAAATGTCTTTTTAAATGTAATAAAATACATTTTTTAAAAAAACATACTTTACAAAATTTTTTAGGAAGCTTATTCAAATGACATTGGAAAGAAAAGATCCGCAACTTGTCACTGTTTACAATAACGCCCCCGGGGTCACAGCCCACACGTGTCATCACCTCGCAAACTGCCACACACCGAGGACCACGGAATGACTTTCACGTGAACATCGACAGGGAATTAAAATAAAAATAGATCTAATAAATCTAGATATTTGATAAATCAGAAAATAGAAATCTCGAATTCCTGGCACCAGTTTATCAAATGTTTGAATCCGTGTCAGATGTCCTGTAGGGCACACGGATACCAGCTTTGACTTGCAGAAAAACACAGCATCCTGCCGAGGACACAAATACTGTTTTTTAAGCGGAATTACAAGGCGCCCCAGCAGGAGCTGTGGTCACTGGTGGCGATCACCGTACATCATGAATTAAATGGCACGCTCTGCCGCCCTGCAAACAGGCTCTGAGTCACTTTGTCCCAAGTATAATAATAATCAAGCAGAAATCTCCTAAAGTAATAGTCACCCCCAGGCATCCCAAAGCAGTGTCTTCTGAGGAGCTCCTTCCAGTGTCCAACTCAGCCCTTTCTGTAGCAGGGGGAGGTCATTCCAGTGCCCGGCTGGCCGAGGGTGACTGCCAGGGCCAGCGACACGGGCACAGCGACTGACCGAGCGTCCCCTTGCAGGAGGCCCTTCCTCTCAGCATCTTAATTTCCTGCCTAGAAAGGGCTGCACTTAGCGCCCGTAACGACTGGCCGTGCGTACTCCACGAAATCATCTATGAGAACAGGCCATGCTCCTACGGGAAAGCAAACACATGGATATTTTAAGAAATCAACAGTTTAGAGTAATATTTTTGTATTCAGAGCATTCTTCTCACAATGTCTGTATTGCAAGAACTCAACTGAGTTTTCCAGCCTGTTTCTCTGAAGGAATTGGCCAGTGAAACCCATTTCTCCGGCTCTGGCCAGACCCGCTCGTGTGGACATGGCCTCTAATGACAGGGCAGGCGGGCCTGGCTGGCTGCAGGGCCCCCTGCCCTCCCTGCGGAACACAGCTTCCTGGCTACCCAGCGCCCTTCCTTTTCTCCCTGGGGCCTTTCCCCTCCAGCCTAGGCCACCCCCACACTCCCAAGCGGCCCGGACCACCCAAGAACCTGGGACACCCCCCGCCGGCCAGACACACACTCACTGTTAAGTGGCTGGCTCCTTCTCCCTGGACGGACAAGCCGTGTCTCGCCGCCGTAGCTAAGCTCCCAGGAGCGGGGCCTGTCTAGGGTCAACTACCCACCCATTCACTCACACCCTGCTCCATGCTCAGTGCAGAGGACACACACAGATATGCACGCCAGGGCGGTGAGCCTTCACTTTCCAGCGCCAAGAGCAGGGAGGTGAGGAGCTGCCCCAGAGGGTGGCCTCCAGGCTGGGCACGGAGGAAGCACACGGCGGGCGGGCCGAGACGGAGCCTCCTTCCCTACCGTGGCCCAGCGCCCAGGGTGGCAGGCACGTAAATGATCCCTGAACGGCTGGCCTGAGATAGCTGGGGGGAGGGACCACAGATATGTGACTATGTTTACGTCAAGCACCAGCTGGAATCTTCAGGCCGACATCAGTAGCATGACGGGGGGGGGGGGGGCCCACACAGGATCGTGTACTTGGGGCGGCGGTTCCCAAACACCTCTCTGCATGGCCACCTGGGAAATGCTTTAGTTTAGGGGACACTCTCCTCTGAATTGAAGCTACATCTTGAAGCCCTATTTCTCTTTCGTGCAGTTGACAGACACACTAAAGGGGTAACTATTATTACGGCCATTACCCCCACTGCCCTGAGGGGGCGGCCCAGAGTCGGCTGGAGCTGGTCAGCACCGTCCTGTGCCCCGGGGCAGAGAGAGGCAGCCTGCATGTCAGCGTTTCTGGCCACCATCTGAAGCACCAGGACTTCCCGTACCTTCTTCGTCATAGTTAGACATATCATCTGCAATCATATTTCCAAAATCTAGCAGAAGGTTCCAAGTGTCCCTTGGGATTGATCTTTTGTGATGCTCCTAATACATAAGAGAAAAAAACCCACCAGACTTGAGAAACAGACGTGACCTCCAGCGTCCCACTGTCTAGTTGGCTCAGTCTGCAATCTGATGCAGACTAAGAACCACCACTCACACTGCTGGACATTAGGAACAGTAAGAGGCTTCCAGATAAATCTTAGGAGCTGCACAGTGTCAACATATAAATATGGAAAAGTAGACTTATTTAAAAAACAGAATAAACATTTAAAATACCAAGATTATAATCTGTTTCAAATACAAGGGCAGCACTTCAAATCTCTACCTAACCCCCACTGATTCAGACACAATGCAGGACGAACAGGCAAACTGCATTTGGACACAATTTATTTCTCTCTATACTAGGATGGGGTGATGGTCTAAAAACACGTGATTCAATACTTGAGATCTACCAAACAGGTGGAGAACACCGCATGTCTGTGCTGGGATGCACCGCCTCGCGGAAGGTTCCACCCCGCAGTCCTGGCGGCCACGGTCCTCTGCTGCCCTCCCCGCCTAGCACAGTGCACCCTCAAGGGACCATGCACCACGCTCACCCTGTCCTTGTGCATTTATCTAAAGCTACCCCAGGACATGCAGCAGCTTTCTCCCGCTCAACAGTGGGCCTGGACTCAGCTGTGGTCACTGCGTCTGGGAGCGTTCTACTGACTTTTTACCCACTCTCCTGTTTAGGGCTCTGCGGGGGGGTTCCCAAGGTGCTGCTGTGAGGGTGCTGTCCCATCTCTGGGAACGTCTGCAACTGAGGTCGCCGGCCCCAAACTACTAAGTGGTGGAGCAGAGGAAATGTGATGGGCGTCTCAGCTCTCCCACGCCGCTTCAAAGAGGCCCCTACACACACGGGCCCCCCGAGGAAGGACGGGCGTCAGCCAGGCTGGGGTCTGTGCCGTGAGAAGTCACGCCCCCTCACACGTTCACGGAGGGAGCGACACAGTGGGCCTGGGCACACCGACATCATGTGACTGTTCTGCAGCGAGACCCCATGCTCCACACGCTTCACACTGTGACACCTGCTCCCTGACTCACAGCAAGGAGGAGCCGCCCCACCACGAAGGCCCAGCACCACTCAGAGGCCCGTCGCTGGCACGGACAGACTCTTCCAAGGGGCCAACTAAGCCCTCCTTTTTCCTTCTGAACATCGTAAACACGTTTAAAAGTGTGTCACTATGAGCGCGCGGGACACCGGTTACAATCCACAGTCTGGGGCCAGAATCAACGTCCAGGACGTGTGCGACCGGTGCTTTCTTCAGGAATTTCAAGTTTCTCAGAGGAAGCACAGAATTAGTTTGAGTTCCTCAGAAAAGGTAGTGGATGGATGACGGCCCAGGTCTGCAGGGCATCTGAACGTCTAGCTGGGGGTTCTGTGTGTGGCTCCCTGAGCTGCTTTGGACATTGGCCTCGGGACGGCCCTGCTTAGAGCTCCATGGCTGTGGCACTGTGCATGGCGGTGTGGCCGTGTGGTCACCGTAAGGAACCCCGACGACCCACCGCCCATACGGAACACCTTGGTCAGATAACATAGCCTCATAATCTGCTGACCCCATCACACTGGGCACACACAGCAAAAGCCGGAGGACACTTACCAGTAAGAAGGTGTTCCAAAGATCTAAAAATTTAAACCTTCCAGATAATACTAAATTCCAGTATGCAACAGCCATTTCTAAATCTGGCAAAAAAGAGAGAAAGAGCAGTTAATAAATCCCAATTTCTTTTTCCACTGCCCCAAACGTGACCACTTACTAGCACACTGATAGTCACTTAAATCAATAAAACTCAGCACTCTTACCCAAGAGTTAGATGAAGCCTAACCCTTACACAGGTGTTCCTGAAATTGTGTGTAATCTAATCTTGTAACTCTGGGGATCTATGCATTTGTGATTCAGACATGTAAAGGATTATCCCCTCATTAACATCAGTGTTGCAGACTCTCGTTTTCATATGCGTTGGGTTTTCTTCAAACCTGACTGAACCAATCTGGATACAGTTTGTGCATATCATTTATTATCAGTGCTTTCCAAGTGGACCTGCCATTTGCTACCATGGGAGCGGAAAGAGTCAGACTCAGCCACACATGCACTATAAGGGCTCCACATTTCTCAAGACCATGGCTAGAGAGAGAACGTCCACTGACAGAAGGACACTTAGAATCTAGACTGGGTATTTGTCAGAGTCAACATCCTCCATCTTCCCTGACACAGACCCTCGCTGCAGGGCCAGGGGGGACGATGATGTCTTATGGAATGGGGTCGCTGAGTTTTAGGACTGCACAGGAATACTCTCCTAAGCCATAATTTTTGGAATACTGACCCATTCTTTGCTTACTGTAAGTTTAATATCTATTTCTTTCTGTATGCTTGACATAGCAAGTATACTAAGAGGCTGAGCTGAGTTTGCTTGTTAAAACTGACAACTTTTAATCACGTGCTTTAATCCCAACTGCTCACCACTTTCAGACAGTAAAAGAACAGCTATAATAAAACAATTTCCTAATTACATGTTTACACAAATGTCAGGATGGGCTAACATGAAAAATAAGACATTACCTAAATTCTTCAGGTAACAGATTCTTTTAAATGCAAAATATCCAATTAACCACTTTTCAGAAAATTTTCATCTAATTCTTGGTTGGTCCCACTTGGACAAATGATTAAAGTAGCTCTGTAGGGGCGCCTGGCTGGCTCAGTCGGTAGAGCATTAAACTCTTGATCTCAGGGTTGTGAGTTTGAGCCCCATGTGGGATGCAGAGGTTACTTAAATAAAACTTAAAAAAAAATAGAGAGCTGTAACCTGAGATTTCCAGGAAAACTGCATAAGCAAAGCAAAGTATGAGTAGCACCAACTTTAAATAAAATGCCTATATTCCCCTTGTTTAAATTCTGTTACAGACTTTCTCAGTCTTAAATACGCTGGAGTCTTAATGAGAAAGAGACGGTCAGGAAGTCTGCAGGACTGACCATATGGGACGTGGCTAACCCTCGCCTGCCGCGCGCGCAGTCTAATGCAGAGAGAAGCATCTTGTCTCATTAAGTCTACATCCTTGTGACTTCAAAGGAACATTAACTGAGATCTACACTCAACTCAGCTTCAAGGTGACAAGTCCCACATGGAGAAATGGGGGTGAACCTGGGGAGGAAAGAGGAATCAAGTTGTATGGCAGACATTTAATCTAGGTATTTTGGGGTTAGTCTGGTCCTACAAACCTTTCTTCCAAGTTCCTGATTCGCATGTTTGTGACTAAAAGTAAAAGTACACGTTTTCCATATTTAGTATTATCTGTGTAAAAATGTTTAACATGGTCTTCATGGACTTAGCCATTGTAAGATAACAACAGTAAAAACACCCCAAATGACAGAACTTGGAGCAGGAACAGTAGCTCCCCGAGCATCTTCCAAAAGAGGATGACAGCTGCCCTCCGGTGACCTCCGGGAAGTCTTACCTCCTGAGGAGGAAACGCTCAGAGGAAGGGGTTACTTGTTACAATTGGTTTCTGAAGCTCCACTTACAATTACATAATGAAGATGTCCCTGCTGTCAAAAAACGATTTGGGGGCAGATATAAAAATTAGCTAATTATCATGAAACTTTACTTCCTCGAAAGTCAAGATTTCTCAAAACCAGCTGATTCTAGATTCCAGCCGGTATGAAACAACGCGACTTTTCTTACGTTAGAACAAAGTCACGTGACTTTAATCACCTTCTCTATTACAGTGACCATCAGTTAAAGACAGGCCAAAGAATAATCACCCAGAACACAATACAATCCACAGAATTCTAACACATACATATAAACAGACACACAAACTGGAAGGAAATGAAGAAAAAATCTTTTTTTCTTGATCAAGCTTTTTGACAGCTATCCACGTTTTTATCTAGGAACTATAAGAACACCTGTACCAATCTCTTTATATTTAATCCTCCAGGGCGCCTGGGTGGCTCGGATGGTTGAGCGTCTGCCTTCAGCTCAGGTCATGATCCCGGAGTCCCGGGATCGAGTCCCACATCGGGCTCCCTGCTCAGCGGGGAGTCTGCTTCTCCCTCTCCCTCTGCTTGTGCTCTCTCACCCTCTGTCAAATAAATAAAATCTTTAAAAAAAATTCTATATTTAATCCTTCAGGAGACAGACCACGTAATATGCTTTGTAAATTGTAAAAGCAATTGTTCTGCTTTGGGTATGTAATCCTAAAATTATTCATCTGGCTTTATTTTTTTTAAACCCTTCAAAAATCTTCTAAATGGAGGTAATGTACTTGAATAATCTGATTTCCTGAAGAGGTTGTTGCTTCCTGGCAGTTCCCTGTCCTTTCTGGTGTCCTTCCCTATAGGTGTCCTTCCCCGCAGGTGTCCTTCCCCGCAGGTGTCCGTCCTCACAGGTGTCCGTCCCCACAGGTGTCCGTCCCCGCAGGTGTCCTTCCCCGCAGGTGTCCGTCCCCGCAGGTGTCCTTCCCCGCAGGTGTCCGTCCCCACAGGTGTCCGTCCCCGCAGGTGTCCTTCCCCACAGGTGTCCGTCCTCACAGGTGTCCGTCCCCGCAGGTGTCCGTCCCCACAGGTGTCCTTCCCCACAGGTGTCCTTCCCCACAGGTGTCCGTCCCCACAGGTGTCCCCACAGGTGTCCGTCCCCACAGGTGTCCGTCCCCGCAGGTGTCCGTCCTCACAGGTGTCCTTCCCCGCAGGTGTCCCCACAGGTGTCCGTCCCCACAGGTGTCCCCACAGGTGTCCGTCCCCACAGGTGTCCTTCCCCACCAGGTGTCCGTCCCCACAGGTGTCCCCACAGGTGTCCGTCCCCACAGGTGTCCTTCCCCACCAGGTGTCCGTCCCCACAGGTGTCCTTCCCCACAGGTGTCCTTCCCCACAGGTGTCCGTCCCCACAGGTGTCCCCACAGGTGTCCGTCCCCACAGGTGTCCGTCCCCGCAGGTGTCCGTCCTCACAGGTGTCCTTCCCCGCAGGTGTCCCCACAGGTGTCCGTCCTCACAGGTGTCCGTCCCCGCAGGTGTCCGTCCCCACAGGTTCCAGCAGACAGGCCTGAGACACTCATCCCTTCTCAGGAAAGGGGACACAGGTGAGAGTGGAGATCTCACGTCTTTGCCGACCGATGCAGAGGCCGATCTATCTAAAGCAGAGGCTAAATGTATTAGGTTTGTATTGCAAACATCTTCCAAAAACACTCCTTACCCTCACACTGAGTCTCCTTGAAATATTCATGGAGAAAGAAAATAGATTTATAGACTGTAAATCAGGTACTTAATTTAGATTCTAACTGACAACCTCCTGGAAATGGCTTGGAATTACAACCGCACTTGAGTGGGCGAGTTCTCGCTGAAGCCGGAGATAAGCAGGCCCACCCACCCCTGCTCCCCCTCCCATCCTTTCCCCACCCCCCCCCCCCCCCCCCCTGCCCCCGCCCCCCCTGCCCCGCCCCTGCAGGTGTCCCACCCCCACCCTTCCCCTCCTGGAGCTGGTGTGCAGGTCAGGAGACAATTCCGTGCCAGTGCTGGAACAGGAGAGCTATGGGCTGAGCTCTGCCTAAATCCCTGACCCGAAGGATCCTGAGGAATAGAAAACGATCGCTGTTTGAAGCCACTACACTTTGAGGTACTTTGTGATAAAGTGTGTCTGGGATGCAACCTGAGAACTCTCAAGCTCCCAGGTGATGCCGATTTGCTGGTCTGCAGACCTCCCTGTGCAAGGACCTAAGATAAACAGTCACGTTGAAAAAATTCCTTACTACTTTTCCACCCCTGGCAAGGTGACTTGGCAATCATAAGACAGATGTTCTCACGAGCAATACCTACGCATGAAGGCTGAATGAAGTCTAAGTCTTCAACCACTTTCCTTTGAACATCAAAAGGGAAGAATCCCATACATTGCAAAATATCAATAGATATAAGTAAACATTTCTAACAGAAGCTTAATTTTCCGAAACTATACTGAAGATCCTAAAGTACAGAATGAAGCAGACAGAAAGGGTCACCATTTCACAGTAAAGAGTAACTGCTGTTGTTTTGAAATTTGGGTCAAACTCATTATCACTTTGAAAAAATGAAGTAAAATAAGGACCTAAGAATTAAGCTGCGCAAAATAAAGCATTACCTAAACTTTCCTTTTAAAGTACAATAATTAGCTCAGACCTGAATTAGCCAAATTTTAGGAAAGCATGGAAGGCACCATTTCTTGCTCAGGTGAGTATTACTTAGGGAAAAGCAGGAAACAGAAGTTAGAAGAAGAAAAGCAGCATAAGAATACTACCCCACAACAGAAACGGCACCTGTCCTCCCCAACCGAGGGGTCTTCTTACAGATGCCCACGAGCACAGAGCGAGCCCACCCAGCCCCCTTCAGTGCTGTGTGTCAGTCTCTAGAAAAGCCTGGTACTGCTGTCTTGACACTCATGGCAGGCACCGGTCAGTCACAGGCTTTAATTTCTAAGGACTATTTTGCCTCAGCCTCTTAGAAAGGAATCGAATGGAACAGAGAAGATGATAAAGCAAAAGTTTTCATTCCACAAGTAAGAAATCAGCTCATAAAAGAATAGTCTTGGGCATACCTATTAGGGCTATCATGAAAAAGGGAAAAACCCCACATGAAAACCCCCAGGAAGTAACAGGTGCCAGCGAGGACGTGCAGACAGCCCAGCTCTGCTCTGCTGGCAACAGGTCAAGTGGGCAGCCGC